GTATAAATAACTCGAAGACAAACTCGTGATTGATCGGTTAAACTCTGACTAGGCGAGTATAAATGACTTAAAGACAAACTCGTGATTGATCGGTTAAACTCTGACTAAGCGAGTATAAATAACTCAAAGACAAACTCGTGATTGATCAGTTAAACTCCAAATGGGAGAGAATAAATAACTCAAAGAAGAACTCGTGATTTATCGGTTAAATTCCGACTGGGCGAGTATAAATAACTCGAAGACAAACTCGTGATTGATCGGTTAAACTTCGACTGGGCGAGTATAAATAACTCGAAGATAAACTCGTGATTGATCGGTTAAACTCGGACTAGGCGAGTATAAATAACTTGAAGAAAAACTCGGAATTTCTTCATACATCATGAGGTCGGCATTTTGGTGACTTGGTTTTATACACCAAAAACAAAGTTTTTAACTTGGTTTTATTTCTTCATTAATCTTGAGGTCCGAATTTTGGAGACATGGTTTTATACACCAAGAACGGAGTTTTTAACTTGGTTTTATTTCTTCATTAATCGTGAGGTCGGCATTTTGGAGACTGGGTTTTATACACCAAGAACAGTGTTTTTAACTTGGTTTTATTTCTTCATTAATTATGAGATTGTCATTTTGGAGACTGGGTTTTATACACCAAGAACAATGTTTTTAACTTGGTTTTATTTCTTCATTAATGTTGAGGTCGGCATTTTGGAGACATGGTTTTATATATACACCAAGAACGGAGTTTTTAACTTGGTTTTATTTCTTCATTAATCATAAGGTCAGCATTTTGGAGACATGGTTTTATACACCAAGAACAGAGTTTTTAACTTGGTTTATTTCTTCATTAATCGTGAGGTCGGCATTTTGGATGACATGATATACCAAAACAAATTTTTTAACTTAGATTATTTTCTTCCAATCGAAATTTGGATGACATGGTATACCAAAAACAGAGTTTTTAACTTATTTTATTTTCTTCTAGTCAGAATTTGGATGACATGGTATACCAAAACGAAATTTTTAACTTAGTTTATTTTCTCCAAATCGGAATTTGGATGACATGGTATACCAAAACAAAATTTTTTAACTTAGTTTATTTTCTCCCAATTGGAATTTTGATGACTTGGTATACCAAAAACGGAGTTTTTAACTTAGTTTATTTTCTTCAAGTCGGAATTTGGATGACATGGTGTACCAAAACGATATTTGTTAAATTAGTTTATTTTCTCCAAATCGGAATTTGGATGACATGGTATACCAAAATGAAATTTGTTAACTTAGTTTATTTTCTCCAAATTGGAATTTGGATGACATGGTATACCAAAAACGAAATTTTTTAACTTAGTTTAGTTTCTCCATTATTCATGATATCAACAAATGTCTCGGTTATTCTCTCCCACATAATGCATAAGGATGATCAGTGAATAAAAATCTAGTAATACGCTTAATAGAATAATAATAGTCTTGCTTCAATACAACGTAAAGTCAGGGCTTGAAGGGAGGCGTACCGTCTCAGTCAAAATCCGATCTAACCTTCCCACGTAGGATTGATTCGATATCATGGCTAGCTGAGCCCCTACGCCTTATAGGCTTGGGGCTGGAAGACAAGTGTACCGTCTTGGTCAGAATCTGATCTGATCTTCTCATGTAGGCATTGATCTGATATCATGGCTAGCTAAGCCCTTACACCTTATAGGCTTGGGGCTGGAAGGCAAGTGTACCATCTCGGATAGAATCCGATATAACCTTCTAACATAGGCATTGATCTGATATCATGGCTATAAGGCATAGGGGCTGGAAAGCAAGTGTACTGTCTCGGTCAGAATTCGACCTGACCTCGCTACATGAGTGCACTCGGTCAGAATCTGATCTAACCCCTCTACATGGATGAACTCGGTCAGAATCCAATCTTACCCTTTTGCGTAAGTGCGTTGGCTCAGTCAGAATCCGATCTGACCTTCCCACGTAGATACTGATCCGATATCAAGGATAAAATCATATCTTTAAATGACCAAATATTCCCAAATAAAGCCGTCATAAAAATCTCCACATTCATGAGGCCCATGAGACCCATGGTGAAAAAAGTATAAGACCTGAAACCCTAGAGCTAGGAAAGAAAAATACACAATACTCACTCGAATGCTCTAGCTTGGAAAGGTTGACCTAGGGAAAGTACCCTAGATGCCCCCTTGGCCGGAACACATAGCATGCCCTTGGAAGCTAAGGGTTGCTAAAGAAACCTTTCTCTCTTCACTCACTCCATGGCAAGAGAAAAGTTGTTCAACTTTCATTTCCCAATCTAAATATGTTTCAACGTTATCTTTGTCATGTAATGATGGAAGAGTAATGTTGGGTTCCTTATTGGAAGACTCTCTATCCCTATGTCTAGGTTGTCTTGGGGGTCTTTGATAGTAATCATCATTGTGATTACTACTATAGAGGCTTTCACTTGGAGGTTGGGTATGATGCCCTTCCTCCTTATGCACACTTGAAGGGATTCTAACCCCTGTTTTGATCCCCTTGTTCCCCCCCCCCCCCCTCCAACAAATTTTGCAAGTAATTGTCTTATCTTTTCATTATTCTATGCATTTTATTTTTCCCTTTTTCTAATTTCTTCCTCCCTTTTTATGTTTTCCTCTTCTTTTTTTTCTTATGTACTCTTTCAACTCCCTAAGCTCATCCCTAACACTAGGTGTACTACTGTAAGAGTTATGACCATGCACACTAGAATGATCGTTCATCTTTGATCAAGAAAGGTTTTCACAAATGGGTTTGAAAGTTTTCACAAAAAATGAGTGATAAAAGGTTTTCACAAATGTTTTTGAGGTGCAAGACTAGTATTAGAAGGCCTAAGTGTACAAATTGAACTATCAAGGGAGGTGGACTACAAAGAATCACTTAATAACTAAGCCTTTTCAAGTAAAAATCACTAAGCCTTCTTATACCTTTCTTACAAAATAATTTTGCACAAAGGTTAAGTGTGTGTGTGTGTGTGCACGAACCCCTAGTAGGCAACTTGAAGCATTCTAAACGAAAACAAGCAAGGTAAAAACCTAAGCAATTATACCACCCAAAGCAATAGGCATGCAAAGAAAGCAATTAAAATATATGCTAGTCGAATTTCCTAGGGTGGGAGCTTGAAGTGACCTTGGTGGTATTCAAGCCACGCCCACAAGCACTACTCGAATTACCCTAAAACTACTTAATAAAGAGGCCAATTACAAACCAAAAACCAAAGGAAACAAAGGCCAAAAGTACAAGTGGTTGAAACTTGCACAAGATAAAATAATTTAAGAAATTAAGTCTTCAAGTCTCAAACTTGCTCCCTTCACAAAGAACACCCAAGTTAGTCCTCTCCTTTGGTGTTTTCTCTCTTAGTTTTCGGTATAATCCTCCAAAGCACCTTCGACACAAATTCGGACAACCCCCCCACTCAATCCACCAAGAGTGTGTATGGTTTTAGAAGTTTTCCTCACCTATGCCAAGAAGAAACTAAACCAAAAGTACAAACGACCAAAGAATAAAAACTAAAAAGACACAATTAAAAAGGCTAAACTCAAGTGGAGGTGAATATGACAAAACTTAAGAGTAGAAAGAAGACACAAAGCCAAAATTAAGGCACATTAAGAAATCCAAACACTCAAAAGATTAATTCCTAGAATGACACTAGAATGGAATCAACAAGTATGTGTAAAGAAATGTTGCACTTAATATGTTTGAATTAAGGGTCTCATTCAGCCCTTAAGTTTTGTTCAAAGGTCCAAGAATAACTCTACTTGCTAAGGTAGGAAAATTTGTCCCAAAGTCCATAAGTCTAGCAAAGGTTCCCTTTTTGCTTGTTTTTTGAATCTTTTTTATTTTTTTACACTTGTTTATGGCTCAGTCTTTTAGAAACGTCCAGCCACCTTTCTCTTTTTTATTTTTATTTTTTTATATTAATGTTCTTCCTTTGCTTGGGTTTTACACTTGAGATTGAAAATTTGATTAGCAAAAATTTTGGGAGTATCCTTTTAACAATTTGTGATAGCTCAATGAGACAACAATTTGAGCATTTCTTAGATTTTAATTTGCAAATGTCTAGCTGTAAAATATGCACATAAAAATAAATCTCATACTTAAATCATCAAACAATATGTAAGCATTTCAAGTGCACAAGGAGCTATTCAAATGGCCAAAAATTTAGAACAATGATGTGCAAAGAAATTAATCACACATGAACGTTTAAGTGATTTAGAACATGCTAGGACTAATTAGCATGCATGATTGACTCTCAAAAGCACACTAGAGACTCATGGCCATTTCATCAAACATGTGGCATGCATGTCATATTTTGATCACAACAAGGTTTAAGCATGAATACTTGGAATTTTTTTCAAGGTAATTCAAAAGAGACAATCTAATGACAAAACCAGATGGATAATAAAATAAAATATATAATTTCACCAATGTTTCACCTGCAACCAAACTTTTCCAGCAACTCAAACTTAAAAAGAAAATGGTAGGAACTTAAACAAGGAATCCTTAAAACACCAAGATGATTCACAAGGAAGATATGGCATGAATCAACACATAAAAGAGAACATATAAATCATGAGAACATGGTAAGATAATGATCCATTTTAGCACAAATTTAAACAAGAAAAAAGACACAAAATATGACTGAAAATTTAAGAACAATATGGACTAGAAGTTATCCTTGAAGAACCATTGGCTTTAGATACCACATGATGGAAACCTTCTTAGCATTGATGGAGGAATGGTAATCAATGAGAAAGCCTCCTAGGCTCCTTAGATTATGGTTCTTCAATGTCTAGCCGTGAATGGAAGGTGGAGACCGAAAATGGAGGAAGGAGGTAATGTGTTTGATGAAAGGTGTACGAGGCACTCTAGGGTTTGGCTCACTTCAAGGGGGATGAAGGCCACTCTTAGGGTTTATGCACTCAAGGTGGAGATAGTAGGGTACTTGGCCAAAAATAGACCAAGAGAGACTAAGGAAAATATAAAGGCTCAAAAGCTCACTCTATATTGATTTTCAAAGTGTTTACATGAGGTGCTCCCTAAGATATTTATAAGTGATGGGTGAGGTCATAACCCTAGGGATGTGTGACGGCTAGGTCATCATGGAGTGCTCATTCCCACCTCAAAATGAGAAGGAAATGCACTCTAAATGAGACTTACATGTAACCCTAAAAGTGTCGCACATGCCTAGGCCAAGATGACATCTTTTTGGGTTAAGTTAAGCTACAACTAGGTGCATAATGGGAGTATGCAACTTAGGTGCCCTTCCACTTGGGCAAATGCTCTACTTAGCCCAATAGATCCCATAATGTTCACGACCATTCACCATACCTCTAGGAATTTAAGCCCTAAATTCTAAGTACCCCAAAATACAAAGGCAAAATAGGAAATACAAAGCAAAATAAATCCTACATTTTAAGTACCCCAAAATACAAGGGTAAAATGAGAAATAAAACTCATGAAATAAAAGAAAATAAATCCTATACTAATGAGGCTTAGGAGAGTAATTAATACCCTGACCATGAGGAGAGTATCTCTAGATGTGTGAGCTCCTTCCTCTTCTTCTATTCTCCTACCCACCTAGTGTGATGGGTCCCACATGAAGCTACAAGGATGGTCCTCCATCAATATGTTTGAATAAAATACTAAAACTTATTTTAACATATATGATAATCTTTGTAAGGAAATGTTAATACCTTTCGAAGAGCTCTAATAAGGTAGGAAAAGAAATTAATTATTTAAGTTTATTAACAATGAATTAACTCTTGAATTGGCATAGTTAAAGGTCGAAATCCATGTTGAAGAGCTGAATCCCAAACTTTTTCTATACTATGCATTGTGTAGTTGCATTCATGTTCATTCCAGCTTTCTAAAGAGTGCAATATTCCAGCTATGCGTGATGCACTCATTACCCTCCTTGGCAACCAATTCTGCAATATATGTATAATATTTAATAAATTTTTCCCACTTGGAATAGTAAAAATCATAATGCAATCGTCCATGCACAATTGAATAGAATGATTGAATCAATTAAACAATGATCTAAACAAACCTCACAAGAATGAACATTTTCAACAGATTTAGGAATTAACATTGCTGGAGTCCAATGATAAGAACAATCTTTGCGATATTTCTTTGGTTGAAACTGTGAGTATGGAATAAATAATGTTCCTTTGGGTGCCTTCAATTGTTCCTCTTCGGTTAATTCATCTCCAACTAACCAAGTCTGTAAAAAACAACAAAGATCAAAAATCAAAGGAAAACCTTGTTTGTCATTATTGACAAGGTTTTAAGAAAATCAAGGTGAAATTATTATAAGAATTATTTTTCATATATTTTTTATATAAATTTTTAAGATTAACTTGAAGTTGTTTTTAGTAAAGTATTCTATAAAAATACTAGGAAAATTTTGTTATATTACCATTTGGGTGTAGCTTTTTGCAATGATCAAATTAGTTTCAAAGTTATTGGATGAACTTTGAAGTCTCCCATAATTATCCTTGTGCATTGTAGCAACCTGAAATATAGTTAATTATGATATCAAAATTAGAGGCATTCAAAATTAAATAAGCATAAATTTCTATCTATCTATCTATTTATAGTGTGTAAAACCGACCTTAATGCCTTGTTGACACAATGTGTAGGCAAGAGCATAAGTAACCTTAGTGAGTTTTCCCCTAAGTAATACTTGAGTTGTTCCTTTAGGAATGTTGTTAAGAACAATACCAACAGCAAGGTTGCTTCCATCTACAACCTTAACTTTTAGCTTTGGATGCCTACTAACATATAGCCCTCCATAGATGTTAAGCTCCTCTCCTTGATTCATAAGGCCTAGGCTCAACACTTTTATGCCTTTTCTATCTGCATCTAGTATTGCTTCCTCTATCATTTTGTTGATGGTCATTTTTTGCAATTGTGAAATGTACTACAAAATATTACATAGTTATATAAATTATTATTTTACACCACCATATAAATATAATATATCATTGATCACATATAATTGTATTAAAACTTTACTAAAATAAACAATCACTCAAATGATGATACAAAATAAAATATAAGAAAAAAAAAGTAGTCAAACAACTTGTTAGTTATATATAGACATGTCAACTTCACATTCAATATTCTTTAGGATTTTATGAAGACATTTTCAAACAAAAAAAAAAGTAATGTTTCCATTTAATTTTAAATACTAAATGGTTTTGAATAAATGTCTATGAAATTGGCAAAGTAAATTCATATTTAATTACAAAGAAATAAACTTATAATATTTACTTGGAATTTATATTTGGGTATTGCCCAAGTTTGTAACTTGAGTTTATCAAAATTATTTCGCTCCACAATGAATGTACGACCATAAGCCCTTGTAAGAATCATAGACCAAGCTGTCACAGGCCACATCAAACAAAGGTACCATTTTGTTGTGTATGGCTTGGAGGCTAGGTAAGAAAATCCAAATCTGAGATGATATATGGATTTAGGAGTAGTTAAGTGTGTTAGATGCACAACATCTGGTATTTCTTCTTGTCGTTTTCTTGTTGAATAATGTAACTGATCTGAGGTCTTGTCTTTGGTGCCATAAATGTAGTCATAAAATGGCATAAACAAAGAGTAATTTGTCCTGAATTGTGTATGATGCAAAGAGTGAAACCTGTGAAATATATGAAAATAATTATGTATACTTTGTTATCTTTTGTAATTAAATATGCAATTTAAACAATCAATTTTAATGTAATAGTTGTAATTAAATGTTCTTATTTATCACAAAAACAAAATAAATCCACACCTAATATGTGTGAGAGTAACACTTAATTAAAAAAATAATGAAAATAAATGAATTTTCAAAATAAGATAATCATGCATTGGATTACACTTAAAAAAATTGTGTTGAAATTAAAATTCAGTTATATACATCTTGTGAAACTATTATTTGTTGTCGCCTCTATAGTCACCATCATCATCCTCCACTACTATCCATGTGACATTGTGGTGATGACAATGATAACTAAAATAGAGATGACAACAATACTAATAACATTAATAATCTTATAAAAAGTAGTGTTTATAATTATGTTTAAATTTATATCACAATTATTTTTTAATTGTTATCCAAGAGTTACCATAGAAAGTTTTCATTTTTTTAATTAAAAGTTTTCATTTTTTTAATTAAAAATGTCCTTTAAATGTGTAGCATGGAGTATCTATGAGAGAGCCTTTATTGTGAGAGATTAATTAGATTAAATAATGAATAGACAAAATTAAATAAACGAGTCATGTGAATTTTTAAAAAATGTCACATGTCTTTTTTAAGTAATTAAAAATTATCTTTTTTAAGTAATTATTTTAAATAATTATTTATTATGTACGTAAGCACTTATGTATATGTTGTTTATTATAGTTAAAGTGAAAATATGTTAAATCTATTTTAATATAAGTCGTAAGTTATTTATCATAAGTCTTTATGTAAAACTTATTGAAATAAGATAAAAATAATTCATAAACATATCATAAGTTATTTTAAACATGTAAACAAGTGCTAATTCCATAAAATAATTATAAATAAATTGTTAATAAATTATTCTAAAAGTGACCTAAATATTAATCATAACATATGAATTATTATGATTGCTTTAAATAATTTTAATCTTATCTCTCATTTTTTATTATATAATTGAAATTCACTTCTTTTGTGCTATTGTGTTTGACATGGTATGTTTCTTAGAGAGAGAGTAAATACTTACGATGGGGTGTAGATGAGGTACTTGAGAGGAGGAAATATGCGAAAGAGCCACGTTGGAACAATCTCAAAATTGCAATGACCCATATTGTTCATAAAATCAATGTATGTCACATATCCAAACACGGCCAACATAGAGGTCGTTTTTGTAAAGACAGGGATTAACAAAGCAATTGCAAAAAGAAGAAAATATAATATGTGCTCAGCAAATGGATGGGTGACAGCTGCACCAAGAAAAACAAGGTGTTACATAAACTTATAGACAAGTGTTAAATGATTTATTCGTGAGTCAACACTAATAAAATGATACCTTATAGCAGTATTTGATGTATTAAAAATATACCACTTTTATATATAAATAAAATTATGCTTTAAATATTTTTGGTAAAATATTGTTCGAGCCCCTAAAAGTACATATCAATGGCACTCCATGAAATTATAAAAATTAAAATAAAAAAAAGTCCTTGAATGTTTATAAAATTTAAAATATGTGACTAAAATGAAAATATTAATATATATTTAGGGATTAAATTAGCAATAACTTATTTCTGATGGACTTAATGAAACAACCAAAACTTTCAATGACTTATTCAAAACTTTCTTATTTTAAGAAACATGCACTCTTAGAAATTGGAATGATGTTTTATCCAATGTTTTTCGTCCTTTAAATAAGAGTTAAATTTATTTTTCATTTCTCAAATTTAAAATTAATTTTTTAGTTCTTGTAATTTTAAAAAATATATATATATTTCAGTCCTTCCACTAAAAATTCTTAATAAGTTTGTCAAATAAAACTCAAGTATTATTAAATATTTTTAAAAAATTTACTTACTAACATTCTTGTTAGTGAAAATATCAAACTAAATTTAACTAATATTACATATACCCTTCTTTATGTTAAGTATGTTATTGATGGTCTTAAAAGATTAAAATAATAATTTTTAAAATTATAAAGACTAAAATGATAGTTTTAAATTTAAGAAATAAAAAAATAAAAGGAACTAAAAATATTTTTAAACATAAAATTATCTACTAGTGAAATGTATTATTATCTTAATTAATACAGATGAATAATGTCAATTATTTTGTCTTATTAAATATATATTTCACCAAACTAATTGAATTTAACCCTCAATCATTAATATGTACGAATTTTTGTAGTGAATGTAAAGGAGTTGTTTATTGACTAAAAACTGTTGACGTGTTAGCTAGTCAAAATTTGAACTAGTCATATATAAACAAAATTAATATAAAATGAAAAACGAATACCGTACATCTTGTTTTGGGGGTGTATATGGAGTGTATGCCTAGAACAAATAATGTTATATATACTAAGATTTGAACCAATTTTTCCCTGAATTCTTACAAGCGATTCCCTTTGCAAGGAATCCTTTTATATTTTTAATTAAGATAAATAAATGAATTTAACACTCCTTGTGCAAGAGTTACTTAGATTAATTATTTCAAAAACTTAAATTATTAACTCAAAATATGTTATGTAAATAAATATCATCATACCAATAAATCAATAATAATGAAATTTAAAATTCAAGTAAACATGACTTTCCACAATCCGTTAATTCGGTTTGAGATTGATTTAAATAGCCTCAAATTTTGAAATTGTAATCAATGTATTTTTATTGGGATGAATTTGAATTATTCCAATTTGATTTGACATTAATATTCTCATATAAATTATAAGTATTTTTGAATTATTGTGCATTAATATTAAAATATTAGTAATATCTTTTGTTACATGATATTATATTTATTTTAAAATATATACTGTAAATTCTAAGATAGTATCATATCACTCACCATTTATTCATGTGTCAAGCTCAATAATATTATACTTGAGGGGGTGTATTAAAAAAAATTTAAGTCCCACATCGACTAAAAATAAGACAATTCAAGAGTATATAAGTAGGGGACAACTGTCATCTTACAAATCTCACAACGATTAGAGATAAAGTAATTAAATAATATATAAGTTAGAAATATTTTCTTAAATTTTTAGTGACAAAGGTAAAAAAGTATTAAATTTCAGTAAAAAAGATGTTACAAAAACGTATATACAATAATTAATGTAAAAATACAAGTAAAATATTTTGTGACTACTAAAATAATATTAAATATAAAAAACAGATGATTTTGTTAAAGGGAGAAATAAATAATATTTTTATTAATAAAAATATTAATGACTAATATATAATAACTATTAAATTAAAATATATTTATATTATACTAAAATTTACTATTAGCGACAATTATTTATTAAAAAAAACTTAAGTCTCACATCGACTAGAGATAAGATAATTAAATAGTATATAAATGAATGATAATTCTTAATTGACAAGTTAATTTTGTATGATTGAGTTAGACCCACAACTCACTATTCTAACTTGGTATAAGTACAGAGCAACTCTTACCTTACAAGTCTCACATCGACTAAAAAAAACAATTAAAAAATATATAAATTAGAAATATTTTCTTAAATTTTTAATGATAATGATAAAAAAATACTACATTTCAGTAAGAAAAATCATACATTTTTCTCGTACATACAATAGGTAATGTGAAAATTCAAGTAAAATATTTTTTGACTATTAAAAAATAATATTAAATATCACAAAAAAGATGATGTTGAAATGTGTCACAAATTCAAAGGGCGATAATTAATATGACAATACTTACAAGTAATGGGTTCTGTGACAATTGAAGAATGGTGATGAGAATGATATCGAGAGTATAGGAAGTGGTGATGAAGTGCCCTATGTAACCAGTAATACAGAAATTCCACTGGTCCCATATGAAGTAGTATTGTCATAATCATTCCATCTGTTCTCCATAATGGAAGACGTGATGCCCCTGGAAATATATAGTTTGCCATGTAGTATAATAACCCATTGAATAATATTTGGTCATCCCTGCAAGATCGAAATACAAAAAGTAAAACAAACAACTCAACTAAATGGGAAAAGGGTAAGTTTGAGACTTAATTTGAGTTGTCATTTTAAGCATAGATACTAACCAATTTCTTTCTCTGTCAACTTGATCAAACTCAATTCCTTTGTCAACAATTCTAGCATTGCCTTTGGCTGTTTGGTAGCGAGAGACAGAGATCCATATTTGATTATGAAGCATACGCGACAACAAAAATGGTAGTATGAGAAAGTTGGTTATGTCCCTTTCACTTTCATCCTTCACCAACATTGAGTACCAGCTATGAATAACAAAAGGAGCTACTACCATGTACTGCAAAATTAATCACACCATTAATATATATTAAGTTAAAAATAAGAGTTAATTATGTATACATTATCGGTGTGAAAATTTTTTATACTGATAATCAATCATATCTTTTAATAATATAATGTCAGTTGTTTTTTTAATGAAATAATAATAAAATAAAATAATTTAAAAGATATGATTAGTTACTAGTTTTTTACACTTTACATTGACAATGTATAGATGATTAACTCTAACAATAATTTCAAATACTTCTATTACAACATTTTTTTCTCTACGTTTTCCTATAAATCTTTCTACCTGCTAAAAAAAAAATATTTTTAAGATATTAAATGCATTTATTTCACTGTCATCCTTCACCAACATTGCGTACCAGCTATGAATAACAAAAGGTGCTACTACCACGTACTGCAACATTATTAATATGTTAGCCGAAAAAACCAATAATATAACCAAATAGAGGGAGTGAGAGTGAAAGTGAGCGAGAAAGAGACTTTAATTAAAAAGTGTTAACAAATACTATTAAAATAAAACAAACTTTAATATTATTATTAAAATTGACAAAGTCAAGAAATAATGAAATACAAGAAAAGAAAGAAAAATAAAGACATGGAAGGAGAGAGAGAGAGAAAGAGAGAGGGGGAAGAGAGTGACAAGGTGAGAGGGAGAAAGAGAGAGAGAGAGAGGGAGGGAGGGAGGGAGATGAAGAGGGAGAGAGGGGAGTGAGAGAGAGGGAGAAAGAGAAATGGAAGGGGAGAGAGAGGGAGAAGGAGAGGGAGAGACGAAGAGAGGGTGATTGAGAGTGAAAGAGAGAGTGAGAGAGAGAGAAAGAGAAGGAGAAAGAGAAATAGAAAGATAGAGATTTTATGTTTTAAAAAAAGAAAATTGTGATTTTTTTATATACATTAAACTTTTTCTCTAATTTAAGAAAGTTGGATTCTCACTCCCATGAAATATTTTTTTAGAAAAAGTGGGATAAAAATGATTATCAAGAAACTATATTTCTAATAATCTTTTTTTTTTTAAATTGCTACTAAACATATAAAATTAAGATTTACATTTTAAGATTTTCATAAATGCAAAATATCTTGCATACCAAGTGTTCTCTTAAGATATATAAAAATATATCTAAATTAAGTTATGTTTGACTTGACTTGACTTTTTTTTTTAATTTTTTATTTTATTTCAGCTAATATGTATCTAGTTACAATATTTTTAGTTATTTTAATTTACAAAGGATATATATTTTCTAATATGCATTGTTAGTTTTAAATTTAACTCATTTAAAATTAGTAAGAGTGAAAGAGAGTAGTACTAATAATAATATAAAAGTTAAATATATTTACTCTCTACATTAAGTTATCTTAATTACTTTATCTTTGTCATTGGAATTGGAACTGTGTTGTTGATCGGTGCAATTGGATCCATTAATTAATAAAGCACCTTACTATAGGGCGTATATGCTAAGCGTCAAGATTCTCGAAATGCAAAAATTACTTTGAAGAGACATATTTCGCTCTAATAAAATGCACAATTTATCCTTGTTTTTAATGAGTTATCATCACAATTTGTTTAAAATAATCAAAGGTATAAATAAAACGTTTTGCACGTGCCTGAAACCACGGGAAAACTTTTTCATGCATCATGCATGCACATATTATTTTGCCAAAAAATTGATTTTTAAACAACCAAAACAATTTATTCAATTCCAATACACTACAATAAAATAAACTTTTAGTAGTATTTAATATTATTTTTAGTAATAATAAAAATTGTTGTAAAAATATTTTTACAGTAATTATTGTATGCAGTGTCGCTAAAATATTTATCATCAATTATTTTGTATACTGATTTTTTATAATATTTTTTATTTTTTGTTATTGTCACTAAAAATTTAATAAGTAATTCTTAATTTATATACTTTTTGATTACCCTATTTCTAATCAAAGTGAGATTTGTAAGATAATGATTATCCTCTATTTACATATTCTTTAATTTTTCTGTTTTCTTAAGATCTAATATCAAATTAGAATAGTAAGTGGGTTATGAGTCTAATTCAACCCTACAAAATTAACTTGTAAGGTAATAGTTATCACCCACTTATATACTCTTTAATTATCTTATCTCTAATCGATGTAAGACTTAAATTTTTTTAATAAATAATTATTAATAATAATAAATTTTGATAATATAAATATATTCTTAGTAACTATTACATATTAATCTTTAATATTTTATTATATAATAAAATAACAATTAATTTATTATTATTAAATAATTGTCATTAATAATATATTTTATTATACCGATGGAAAAAAATAATATAAAAAAATATTAGTATAATATATTATACGATTTGATAGGAAGAGTGAGAGAGAAAAAAAAAAACTGAAAATGTTAATGGGGGCGTTTGACATTAAAAGTTGTCCAATGTACGAGAACAATGTATCACGTTCATGTCATAAAAAGGTTTATAACACCGTACGTGACACTAATACTTGAGACTTAATTCTAAATATGTCAATGAAAATATAATCTATATCGTTCAGATTTATTTAAAATTAAAAAAACAAAAAATAGTGTTATAATGTAGCAAGTGGTTAAGTTTAAGCAATTATATATATGAAATATGGGGAAATTTCATACAAAGTTATTTAGCTTCAAAGCAGTGTATCATATTTTATTTATTTATTTATATTTGTGTTAATTTTTAGTTTTAAGCACCACCCAATTTCGTTGATAATTAATTTTTATTGGATAATCTAATTAGTTATTTTTAATAGGATCTCTTCTCTTGCTCAGATTTTTTTCATTGACAAAATTCAAACACAAAATTTTTCTTAAAAGAACAATTATTAATACTACTTAAACTAATAGCATGTTGATATACATTACACTCTTATCAAAATAGTAGTTTACTTAAATCAAAAGCAACAAATATTGTTAATAAAGAGAGAGATACGGAGAATTTTTTTCGCAATTATTTTGGATTGCCTTTAGTTTTGTTAATGTTTCATGAGTTTTTGCCCAGTTTTATCATTAATTCTTTGTTACAGTTTTTTTTAATCTTAATTAGGATGTACTGCGGATGTTAGTAGGTTTTGGAATGACAATATTGTTAAGATATTTATTAATAATTAAAAGAGAGATAGAGATTAGATGTAATATGAAAGGGAGGGTAGGCAAATAACCTTATAGTTTCCGAGAGGCTTCCATGGCCAGTCCGTGAGGATTCCCGGTGTGGAAGCCATAAACACAATCTATATTTGAGAAAACGTCTTTTGCTACGATGGAAAGTGTCTCTCTGCTTGGAAGAATTGTTTATGAGAATTTATTTATAGACCTCATTCCACATTGGATCCATTAATGATGCATTTAATTCCCAACCAACATAAACTTGACCACCAATCAACCACGTTCACGTGTCCTGGTTCCTCCAAATGTATATTAAATTTGTGTCATATATGGTCTAGCGTATTTGGTTCAACATATACGAGTTGTACTTTTGTTAGTTCAATTTTGATAGGTAACAAAGAAAATGTCATCCAACAATTAATGAATGTCTATTAGCAAGAAGAGCAGTGAGATAGAACATTGAGTATTTTTATATTGATTCGTCTTAACCATCAAGACTACATTTAGTTCTTAATCTAACTAAATTGAATTCTATCATCTTTAAATAAAGATATAAGTATTCTTTTAACAAGTCACTTCTGGCTCATCTTTAAGTATTTTTTGACTTGTCTCTTCAAGCAACTATCCAAGTATTCTTTTAATAATAAATCTCTATAGACTTAACAACCAAGTATTTTTTTTCAGTCAAGTCTCTCCAAACTCAAAAATAAGTATTCTTTTTCAGACAAGACATCTTTCCAGACTCAACTTTATAACTATGGTTATGAAGTCATACAATAGGTTAGTGTAGATATTTTATAGAGGTCATATACAACATCATTGTGCACACATAATTTTCTCATAATTTATGAAGAAGAAATACCATTTTTATAATTATTTATTACCATTGGCAAAAAATAAAGCTTACACAATAAATTTATAAATTTATATAAAATCAATTTATAATATTCTAAGAAAATTTCAGGGTATTCATGATAAGTCTGCACACATCATATATTTTTTTAAACATTTATCTCACAAATAAAATAATTTTCATCAAATAAAAACTTGACATATTTCTAAAATTTCAATAAAATATCAAAATCAAATACTTATAGAGCTTGTAAATTCATACAAAAATTTTGAGATATCATCAATGACATATAAAAAGTTTATATTGATCCAGTTTTCACAAATATTTTATTTAAGCATTTAACATAATAAAAGTAGTACTAGGGCTAAATCAACAAAATAGATAAATACACCTATTAAAAATAGTATACGTGCTCAAACAATTCTGATTTTTTTCCCAGTAAATCCACAGGCATGATTACACATGGATATAGTCTAACTTTACCAAGAATAAGTCACAAAATCTCCAACAAAATTAAATTATAGTAATAATACACTAATGAGTTGACTAAATCCATTCCTTTGACTCTTGTTGACTTTCTAATTCTAATTTTGACCTTATTTCTAGACTACTAAGTAAATCAGATTGACAATTAGTCCAAGTTCCTTTTCATAGTTAACTTAATTCTTGTTTATATTAATTGGTCTTGACTAAGTGTTACTAGTTAACCTCTTTGTATTAATATAGTGCTTGATTTAAATCCATTAGATTACTAATTAATTAGTTAGAAGACTTCACCATTAATTAAATGATCACTTATTTGTCTCAATTTAAGTTTATACTAAGTGCTAAGTCTTAAATAACTTTTACTTATCTTATAAGACTTTTCATTAATGTACACTTGTTCAATTAGTCTATATTAAATTAATCAAGTACTAAAAGTCCTATTTATTTTAGTCTAGGTTCTTGTTATTCAATTTCTTTTTCTTTAGACTCATTAAGGAGTTGATTTCTATTTAAATGACTATTATTTACTATATTCTAATTAGTAAAATTTTGGGATGTTACATGGTAGGCTTATACCTAAACTGTTCTATTTCTAATAGTAGTACTAGACTTTCCTATTTTAGGTGGTGAAATTTGAGAAATCATTGTTACTTTAATATTGGATTGATATCCAAAAGTTGTGTTGAATGACCTAGAGATGAGAAATCTTCTATGTTTTTGATTTGGTAAGGTTAAACCACTTTAACTGCTTATCTATGTTATAAGAGATCTCTTAGTTGAAATATCTGATGACACATTAAGATGAATTGTTGTTAAGTTGCTATATTGCTAAGTTGTTAAGTTATATGTTGAGTTGTAAAGATATTAATTCATATGAATGATTACCAGTTTTGCTCTATGATTTTAAATAGAATATATTATTGTTGTTATGTTGATTATTGTGAAGATGTTTATATAGTTAACTAATGACTTTTGTACTATATGTTCTTTTGTTGCACACAAGTTTACCCTTACTTTTCTATGTTGTTGGACTACGATGAATATACTATTATGAGAGTATGTGAACATTAGGATAGAGAGAGAGTAGGATATTGAGCCATGAGAGATGGCGTGTTTTGGTGGAGGTTGTTATGATATAGCTAGTTGTTGTTTAATTGGGAAGTTAGTTTTTTATTGCTTTCTTGTTCTAGAATTTATAAATATATGTACAAGATTGTGCTGTAATCCCACTGAGGAACTTTATGTTTTAAGATATTATAAGTAGGGACTGTTTTAAGTTTTATACTCTTGTATATATATTGTTGCATGAATATCCAAGTATTGTTTGCACAAGAATCTTAGGCTAGATGATGTTTATGTTTTTTGCTACCTAGTAACTGTGTTATAGTAAGTGTAGTGACCTACTAGATTGTTATACTTTTGTGGTATTTAGAGCCAATTAAGTCCTTTTGGCACTTTATGGAGTGAGCCCATTGTGTTTATGTTGTGTAACTAGTATGAGTTGTGTTGTGTTTCTTGTTGTTGAACAATGTTATCTTATGGTTTTATTGATGTTAGTATATGATTGATATGTATTTGGCTAGTATACTAATTGACATAGTAGTAAAGAGGACAAAAGTCTAAGTTATCGAATCCATAGAGAATTGAATTTATAGTTGTTTAATATAATAGTCATACTAAATAGGTAAATTAAAAAGTAATTGACTTTAATCATGTAAAGAAATATTAGAGTGTAGAAATTAAAAGAAAATAATAATTTGGATGAATTTAATATATATAATAGAAGTAGTCAAAGATTGATTCAATAACTTTTCCTATGTAAAATTATATCAATTTTCCATTCAATTTTATATTAAATAATTAATTCAACAGTCCACGCTGATAGAAAAGAATGGCTCAATCCAAGAGGGGGTAAATTGGATTCAATGACACTTAAAATTTTTTCAAAGTTTAAGGATCTTTATTTCACTCAAAACTTTTCTAATATGGATTCTCAATGAAGTTAATTTAACCTTTGAAAAATGGGAATGACTCCTATATGAATTCTTGGTTAATCTTTATTGAATTTAGTCTAAGAAACAACTAATATGCAATTTTAATGTTTTAGTTTAAACCATTATTAATCATACAAGCATATCAATCAAGACCAACTATTTTAGCATTCAATTAAAGATGATTCAAGGTAAGACATAGAGATGAGAGGAGAATGCAAAGTGTTTTATCCTGGTTCAGCCACTCCACATGTGACCTACATCCAATCCTCAATCATAACCTGATCAAGATTTATTTCACTATCTTAATGAAGAAGTTTTATAAGCATATCACACATGCATACACTCTTACATTCAAGATAGACAATTTCTTGCCCCCAAGAAAGCACTTCTTGTAAAAACCCACTACAAGAATTCCTTACTACTTGAGACACCTACTCAAGATTTCTTTTACACTTTACACAATGAATTAAAGGAACAAATTCACCTAGAAGCTGAACAAATTAGATTGTGAATTCCTGACACATCTTAATCTTTCTCTTCCAAGAATGTAGTGATGATGATGATTTCTTTCAAATCATTTCACAAAATATTTCTCTTCTTGGTTTCACAAAGAAAACACCCCAAGAAGGTCACAAAGACATCACAAAATAAGTTTTTCTCTCTTTTATTTTCAGTTCATCTCACTTGTCTTGTTTCAAAATGTGAAAACTATTTATAAAGTTTTCCAGACCCAAATAATCGATTATTTCTTGAGATAATCGATTATTTGGTTCTTCTGGATTTCTGGAAACCACTCAAGAATAGAATAATCGATTATTGTGCAGGACAATCGATTATTCTAGAGGGTACTTCCTGGAATAATCGATTATTTCTCAGATAATTGATTATTAAGCAAGGTTCCCTGAACCTCTTGCTGGAATAATGGATTATTCATAATAATAATCGATTATTTTGAGTAAGTTTTCAAAAACCTCAATTTCACACTTTTAGAAAAATTTCTAAATCTTTTCAAGTCATTTAGACCATCATCATACTTACTCTTAGTCAATTAAGATTAAGATTTACTCTAGCACAAAGCATACACATGTAAGAAATAAACTTAACAAGGCAACACAAAACATAAGAACATATAAGCTATCCCTAATACATTTTTTATTCTTTCATATCTTCCTTTCTTGACTAGCTTGCCCTTTGTTCTTGGCTTGTATCCTTTTGTTATCATCAAAACTTCTCAAATCTTCAGAGCTAAGCTTCATTCATCACCCATGAATCTCAACCCACGCATGTATTTAAATCCTAATTCCTTAGGTGACAAAATCTAGGTTGTTTAAGGAAAATCTCAATTCCTTGGTAATTTTTATTAAACAATCCTACATTAAGGTGAGGGACCAAAAGCTTATTGATGAGGTTTATCCCAATTCCTTAGTTAAATGTCATCAATGTTTTCTCCATATTATAGATTCAAATGGATTTTCCAACCTCAATTAATTTTTATGAAATTTGCATTGGGTGATCAAACCAAAACAAGCATTAAGAATAGAAGAAAATAATTAACTAAACAATACTTTTTACTGGATGAAAAATAGGAAGATTGAGGGTTACACAATCCTCAATAATGGAGAACTTAGCCACTTATGACTAAGGGTTACATAACGATAGGTTGATCTTGTAGTGCTCCACGATTGAAATATTATGAAGTTAGCGGAAAAACACATAGAAGGGGGGTTGAATATGTGTGTGTATGAACGAAGGAATTTTAAAAACATTTTCCCAGAGAGACTCTTTTTCTTCCAATAAAAATATTATTTTGAATACTTAAGAGCTG